CTTTCTAATCTGTCTCCAAGATGCAACCGGGTGTCTATTTGTTGCTAAGTGAGTAGACAGCAAGTGAAAGGACACGTGCCCAAACGTCACTCCCCTGCCGCAGGAATCTAACCCAGGACCTTTCAGTTGTGACTCGATTGCTATAAACACTTGCTACAAGACCAGACTGTATGTACCATTAGCTAAAATATCGGCTATCATGAAAGTCATGTGTAGTTAATTATCAAAATACTACTCTTGAATTAATGAAATGTTATGAATAATCTTTTTTTTCACACTTCATGTCTATGATTAACTCCGTTAAAGTTGTGAAAATATATTTGTGTAATAATAATACGCATGCATTTCTTTGACATCGTCTTGTGATATAATTATTGATTACTTACAAGAGTAACACATACGTCCGATAGGTCGACACGCATGCGTATTACCAGTTCTCCTACACTGTCAACCACCAGCAGAACCAATTCGGCCACCAGGAGAGCAGGGATGATGGTCGTGTCTCAGGGGAATACCACGTACTCCTCCCAGGCGGCACCAGGCAGGTAAGGACAGGGGGAAACATCATCACGTTACAGGGGTGTACTTGTGACAGTGCTCCCACCTCACACGTGACCGGCCCGGGACTTGCCAGGACGCCGCGAGACTGTCACTTTGCTGTGAGGCCCCAGGGCCGATCAGCGGGTCATGCGTGCCGTCGGCAAGTACCATGAGCAGACATGTTGGGACCCGAAAGATGGTGAACTATGCCTGGCCAGGATGAAGCCAGAGGAAACTATGGTGGAGGTCCGTAGCGATTCACCCCATCACGTGTAGGCACTCCTCGCCATTTTCCGCCCCCTGTCAACATAATAAGAGAGGGACACGAGTGATGTTACAAGAGCTTGGTGAGGGATATAAATTCTGATTTGTATTAATGTGCTGTTTTAGATACATTTATAGTTTGCATTGTGAAATGATTTTAATGTTTCGGTTGCTGCAGGTGGTGATGTACTACGCGGACGACACCGGCTACCACCCCACCGTTACCTATGAGGACGCCTACGATATTGACCCCAGGTCAGTACGAGACCCCCTACAAGCCCTGAGTACTCTGACACCCCTGAGGACCGGACCTGCTCCCAACACTCTCCATCTTGCTGCCTTCATCACCCCACTTCCTCCAGCCACACACCTCCGGGTGAACACAGTTTCTACAGAACACCAAAATTTCGTCTCGGAAAACCCTTTGCTCTCAAACTTGTCCCGCGAGGCCAGGCTGGTAGATGAAGCAGACGTACTCAGACAATATTCGCCTAATGCGTTTTATTTAGGTAGTTCATCAGACTTTGTTTATTCTACAAATGATTCGATATATAATAGCTTAGAAACAGAAAGAATTCATCGAGGTCCTTCAATATTGTACGACGCACCACTTCCACTTACCGCCTCCAGGAATCCCAATACCTCCTTCAAGCGGGGTCAGCTGCTGACTCCTCTCCACCACTCCAACACCAAACACTCAACAACCACTCATTTGGCTGTTACCCACAATGCCAATTCAACTAGCAAAAACAATCGCAGAAGACGGAACTTTCTTCTTGTCCCCGTACGTTAAAGTTTAATACAACCAGACAGTTTTCAGGCTTGGAAAAAGTTCCATCATTCTCCCAGCCCATCCGCATAACATTGATGACCAGACCACACACTAGAAGGTGAAGGGATGACGACGTTTCGGTCCGTCCTGGACCATTCTCAAGTCGATTCGCATTCAAGACCATTGTTCAAGTCGTCCTGGACCATTCTCAAGTCATTCACAATCGACTTGAGAATGATCCAGGACGGACCGAAACGTCGTCGTCCCTACACCTTCTAGTGTGTGGTCTGGTCATCATACTTTAGCCACGTTATTGTGACTCATCACCTGGGCATAACATTGACCAACTGGTCACCCAAACCCCCGTTTTTCAATTAAAAATACCTAATACACGACTCACCAACCTGTCCTTAGACCAAGTCCATTCCATCCAGCAATCGATCACGAAGACGCAGTCATAAATATTAACACGCTGTTCATTTAAAACAGGAATTGTCTGAAATATTAATTAATATTGTTATATATTAGCAGACTGTGCATATTTAGGCATTGGTTAGGTTAGGTGTTTAAGTTCTGTTGGCGATTATTTGTATTTGTACGTGGGTGAAGCATTTACAGCGGTGTGGTTCGAACAAGTCAGCAAAGTCGACGTGTTGTGCCAGTTCGAACAACCAGTGTTCGAATTTGCTATATTTCTATATTTTATAGAATATAATTTATTTTAGTGTATATTGAAATTTTATGTTTAGTTTTCGTTAGAAAACAGTCTCTTTTACATTATTAAAATGAAATTTAATCTTATTGTATTAATGACTTATTTTGGTAAATGTGATTGTCTCCTAGTAATAGTGAAACAAAAAAATCTATAGACTTTTCATCAATATCGTATACAGTGTGTGTAATGCCTTCATCTTCGTCTGTCATAATATGCATGACATAACATCTGAACAAGGAGACTCTTTTCGGGAAATAGAACAAGTGGGAATGGCCTCCTTAGCGGTGCGGTGCGGTGCCCGCACGCTCGTTTAACCCATAAACATTCAGCTGTCTTAAATCTGCTAGAGATAAGAAACAGCCATTTTGGATTTCGACCACCAAAGGACGTAAATAGTTAAATGAGTCATGAAGGCACTGCAAATTACCGGGCAACACAGTAGAAGTGGGATGGCTGGGTTGTTGGGTTGTTTCAAATGTAAGTTTGACATATAGATGGATACCAATAGGAACGGCTTCGTATGGGCCAATATGTCTTCCGCAATTTCCTTAATTCTTATGTTCTTAACGAGTCAATATTACTCAATGAATGGAAAAGTGCTAAGTATTATTTTGTCTAACATTATTAAAGTGGACTGAAACTTATTTGGCACCTGGCGCCACCATTCTCCTGATACCACCGTACAATTACTTATGCAAAGGAAGATTAGTATTGTCATGTTGTATTACTGTGAGCTTCGCGTTCTGCGCAGCCTCCTGGTGTCTTGACTCGTATTTCCCGCCATTTTCTTCCTGCGCCGTGACTGGTGTTCACCACATCTGAGGCCCGCCACACGCCACTCTGGATGTGTGTAATTACCTAAGTGTAGTTACAGGATGAGAGCTACGCTCGTGGTATCCCGTCTTCGCAGCACTCTTTGTCATATAACGCTTTGAAACTACTGACGGTCTTGGCCTCCACCACCTTCTCACCTAACTTGTTCCAACCGTCTACCACTGTTTGCGAAAGTGAATTTTCTTATATTTCTTCGGCATCTGTGTTTAGCTAGTTTAAATTTATGACCTCTTGTTCTTATAGTTCCAGGTCTCAGGACCTGGATATTGTCCAGGTAGGGTAAGTTATGTGGTAGGGATAAAGTGCGTTTTTAATTGGGATTAAAGGTAAAACATAGATATATCAAACATTTAATTCGGTGCCAGAGACATTTACTACAATAACCACATTTACTACAGTATCAACATTTAATGCGATAAGGACGTTTACCGCGATAATTAAACAAAATTGTGATAACAAGCTAATTGACTGCTATCACATCAACATTCACTGCTACAACGTTTGCTATGATTGTGAAAACGCTTATACCTATCTAAGGGGAGTTCACTAAACATATTCAAAGAAATATGTTATTATTATATCAATAGTCATTTGTTATTTCTAACAAAGACTTGTTAGAAATTACCTTCTTAAAATTATGTTAGATTAAGGATCTGCCCGAAACGCAATGCATGCTAGTGGTTTTACAAGTAAAACTTCAATTATCTGTACTCTGTACAGAGAGAGAGTACAAAGTCTCTGTACCTTCTTGTATATAAATAAATAAATAAATAAATAAATATCTACAACACACTCACTTATCACTCAGCTCAAGTCTCACGTTCAAGTGTAACTTACTCACTTTTAAATTAACTCTCAAGTATAACTGACTTTCAAATGTAATTAACTCACTTTCAAATGCAACTAAATTACTTTCAAGTGTTACTCACTTTCAAGTGTAACTCACCTTCAAGTGTTACTCATTTTCAAGTGCAACTCACCCTCAATATGTTTCTCAGGTGAGTTTGTATGTTTACCTCCAGATGTTTTCCTTTATCTGAGTCACTTTCAATATCTGAGTCACTTTCAATATCTGAGTCACTTTCAATATCTGAGTCACTTTCAATATCTGAGTTACTTTCAATATGTTTCAATATGTCGATAACAAGCTGAATTTCCAGGGACACATTCTAAATATAGCAAAAAAAAATTATCAAAAGTGTTGGCATTCTTTCTAAGATCAGATATTATGTACCTCGCCCTGCCCTGGTGACGCTCTATTACTCTCTCATCTACCCTTATCTCAATTATGGTATTTGTGCTTGGGGTTCTACTACCCAAAATCATTTACGTCCTCTATTTACTCAACACAAAGCTGCTATTAGAACAATATCTAACTCTGGCCACAGACAGCACTCGGTACCCTTACTCAAATCTTTAAATATGTTAGATATTAAGTCACTGCACATCCTCTCATGTGTACTCTATATATTTAAAACTCTGAACTGTAATGTCAATCGTGACCTTAAAAGCTTCCTAGAAGGTTGTAACAGAACCCATGAGCACCACACCAGAAACAAATACCTATTTGATATTCCAAGAGTGCGACTTAACCAAACTAAAAATGCTCTACAAATCAAGGCGACCCAGAATGTGGAATGACCTTCCCAATCATGTCAAAGGCAGTACCTCTCTCAACCAGTTTTAAGATAAAAACTAAGTACTGTACTACCTAATTAACTCCAAGTAACCTACCTTACCCCCTAAATGTCAACCCATGTCTTGCTATATTAAGCAATGCTGTTTGTTGACCAACTTGTAAATTGCTGATTTCTGCCATGTTCCTCTCCCCCCTTTTTTTATTCCTTTTTTTCAACACAATTTATATTTTAATCTCAATTACTAATAAGTTTTAGTCTAAGTGTTTTTTTCCCCCACACCTTGCCGGAAACGCTATGCGTATTAGTGGCTTTAGGTATTGTATGTACTGTACTAGCTCTATCTGTAAATCCAACTTAGACTGGTACGAATGATCCTATTGCCTCTGTCAGGCTTTTATGTATTAGAAATAGAATGGTAACAGAAAGTTAGCGTTGAAAAAATACAGAAATAAATAATAAGTAAAAGTTAAGATGAAAGCAATTGTTGGGCAATGTTATTATTAAATTTAAATTTAATCATAACTGACAACGGTTTTTTAATATAAGACCTTTTCTTCTTGCTATGCTTCACTGCCAAAAAATCCTGCAGTATTTGAACTTTGTTTAACTCCTGCGTCCTCGGCTCTCTTTCTATAATTCCCTGTGCCATCTGGTATCTATTTCAATGGCACACCCTTCTCCAACCGGAGGTCAGCAAGGTCTTGGCTGTGCATGATGGCGGGGAGCCCTGGTGGTGTGTAGCTGGACCATTTTTTTATCCTGCTGGGCGCTCTACCAGCGCCCAGCGCTACTAATGTCGGTGCTGCTGTGGCAGGCGGGAGAGTTGTCCGATACAAGTCGCCATCGCTCGGTGTTATCTGAGCATTTGTCGTTCCTTTGTTTTGATTCCAAATGGTTGAGTGGCGTTCAGATGGCGTCTGGTTGGTGCCGCTAGCCATCCATGTATTTGGCTTGGGGTTCAGCAGGTCCAGAGGAGATGCGAAATAATATGTGCTATCATTTCGGGGGGAAATGTCGGGGCGCAGCCTGGTGGTCGGCCATCGGTGGACTTCAGAAGGATGTATTTTATGAGAGATGATGCCATCACTCTGGTTACTGGCGGAAGTTCGTGCGTCGGGAACATGCGAGTAACCCGCAGGAAAATCGACGTGAGATGTAACGTTGTTTCTTGGTTGAGTTATAGGTCGCCGTCGTCGCCCTGGCGTTCTTGTGGTGTTGGATGGCCGTTCAAAGTTATTTATAACATCTTCGTTTGGCCTCTTGGGTCTATTCTGGAGCGTCTTGAGTCGATGTGGACGTTCAAAGTCGTAAATTACATTATCTGTCCCTTGTCCTTTCTCGTTGGTGTTTACAAAGTTTCCAGGCCGAGAAAACGGTTTAGTCTGGAAAGTATTGTAGCTGCTACTGACGTTGTTGGGTTTGGGAAAAGAGGGACGAGACTTGTAGATAGCTTCCTCACCCTCCTCAACCCTTCCTCTTCCTGGATCATGGATTTGGGCACCCGAGACCTCCCCTAGAGTTTTAATGGCGCTGAGGTCATGTGCTAGGCCATCATACTCGTGCTGTGGTCGGTGATCCAGTGGTACATGGCTGTATTCTATATGAGGGATTCCTTGTTGGTGTTGGGGACCCCTTTGGTCCTGCTGCTGTTGGTGGTGTTGGGGACCCCTGTGGTCCTGCTGCTGTTGGTGGTGTTGAGGACCCCTGTGATCCTGCTGCTGTTGGTGGTGTTGGGGACCCCTGTGGTCCTGCTGCTGTTGGTGGTGTTGGGGACCCCTGTGATCCTGCTGATATTGGTGATGTTGGGGACGGCTGTATTTATACTGCTGGTACTGAAAAATATGTTGTTCCGGAAGGAGCTGTGAATTTTGTTGTGGATGTCTCTGTATCTGGTGCTGGAACGGTCGTCTCAGCTGTTGTGGTCGACCCTGGGCTGCTGCAGGAGGAATGTGCAGCTGTTGTGGTCGACCCTGGGCTGCTGCATGAGGAATGTGCAGCTGTTGTGGTCGACCCTGGGCTGCTGCATGAGGAATGTGCAGCTGTTGTGGTCGACCCTGGGCTGTTGTAGGAGGATGGTGCAGCTGTTTGTCTTGTTGTGCCTCGCCCCGACGTACAGTGTCAAGCAGTATATCCAACATGGAGTTCCTGCTGCTGGAACCACACACAAAACACATAAGTAATTCGATTTTAATGAGAAAAAACACGAGTATTTATTAAGGTTCGTAACATATACTGATAGGTTACCTTACACATCGTTTAAAATCGTAAAGAATTTAATATAATGAAGACCAATTTTGAGAATAATTTTAATGTATTAAATAAACAGAAAATAATAAGACATATTTACTATAAAACTATAAGTATAATTGCTGTTATTTTATGTGGTATCTCTGGTGATGTTTTATAACCTCTATACATAACCAGACTGTCAGAAAAATCTTGACAAACAACGTTGAAATAATGGACAGCTACAACGGCATAAGAAGATTAGACATAAGCAAAGCACTATACATATAGAACCAACTATCAGCTGCCAGTTATCTTACATTCACTTACATTCTTCCATCTTCAAGACCAAGACAACATCCAGCACAATAGCCCATCAGTCATAAGCGCGTAAGAAGTTGTTGTTGTTGTTATTTTAGAAACAGCCACTCGGAACAAAAGTTCCAAGTAGCACAGGCTATGGTGAGCCCGTAGTGGACTTAGCTAGCACAGGAGCGGGGCTGTAACTGCTCGCGCATAAGAAGTAAGGAAACTGCAGAAGGCCTATTGGCTCATGCGACGCCTGACTTCACCTCACAGAGGACGAAGAGGAGGTGGCAGCAGGAAAGAATCAGTAATAGAAAGAATTCCTCTTGGATACAAATATCCATGGAGATATGGGATGGAAACAACAGCTGAGCAGCGACGCTGCAGAATCTGTGGTGAGTGTGTGTGTGTGTGCTACAGAATATGACAAAAAATGATAAGATCATATATAATGTTATGGGAATATATACCTTATCCTCTTCACCTAATTCAAACATTCCAATTCCTTGCCCTCATACCCACTGCTGGTGCTACAGTCATACAGGCTCGGCGCTTACTCATCATAATTACCTACCTTACCTTCACTATGATATATAAATGTGAACTTGTTAAGAGGTTCGCAGACGAAGAGGATGTTATGGACTGTTATGCGTCCATGTGGTGTGTGTTGACTTACTGTGTGGTGGCGAGGCCTTGAGGTCGCCCCAGGTAGGTCACCACTGCCAGCCACAGCGCCACGCCGCACACCGCAGCCAATACAACATTCGTTACCCACCTGTGGCGGTGTAGAGAAGAGGGCGGGGTTACTGTAACGGGTGGGGAGGGCTGCTGTGGGGGTGTGGAGAAGAGGGCGGGGTTATGGTAACGGGAGGGGAGGGCTTGCGAAAGAGTTTTGGGGTCCAGTTTTATGGAGAAAGAGAGAGATCAATGGAGTGAATTGGATACGAGGAATAGTAGTAGTAGCAAGAGAGGCTTGCAGATGTGTGAGGTTAGATTGATCAGTCTGAAATTTCTGCCGAGCTCTTTCTGCCCTTTTTAAGATGTAAGATGGGGGTGATATTTGCATATCTTCAATCTAGGGGGGGAGGGATTTTCCCTAGGTCCAGAGATTCATAGGTTCCTTCACAATTTTGGATCGAATACTATCCTAACCTGGGTATTTATATTATTTTTGTTTGTTAATTCTCTTCCCAATTGTTTCGCTCGTTATGGGAATGCCCCTTAATTCATTCTTTTCCCCTGCTTCAGACATTTGTGTGGGTATTGGGATAGTCTAATGTTACTAATGTGAACACTGATGTAAAGTATTCACAGTTTTGCCGGCCTTTTAATCGTAAATTATAACTTGGTTGGTCTCATCTTTTAAGGGTCCTATTGTTTTTTTTTGTATTTAATTTAATTATATATACAAAAGTTCTTACATTCTTGTAAAGCCACTAGCACGTATAGCGTTTCGAGCAGGTCCTTAATTTTAATTTTCCTCGGAATACGACCCACCAAATCGCTTAACAACCAGGTTCCCATTCACTGCTGTAGATCTAGTAGACTGTTGAGAGGCGGGACCAAAGAGCCGAAGCTCAATCCCCGCAAGCACAACTAGGTGAATACTGTTGGGTGAACAAAGGCTACAGTTAAGGGTTGGCGCCTAGTCAATTGTTCTTGGTTCTACTTCTTATATGGACATAAAAAGACAAGTAACAGTTCCAACAGCTGTCACTATAACAGCAGTGGCGTGTGCAGGTAACAGTAGGAAGTAGCATAAATAATGACATGTTGTGAGTGAAGCAGTGAGCGTGATCCCTCTTCCTCTCGGCGAAGGGGACTGAGTGGGAAAGGGGGGCAATGAGGGAAGAGGGGGAGGTGAGGGAAGAGGGGGCAGTGAGGGGAGAGAGGGGCGGCAAGTAGGGGGAGAGGGAAGGGGGAGTGAAGAGGGGGGGGGGGTGGCAGTAAGGCGAGGGTAAAAATGTTTGGAATTAAAAAAAATTGAGTAAAGAGCGAAAAAAAGAAGTGTTGAAGGGAGCATAAATATAGAGGTTAGGGATATAGGGACACAATGGAGACAAAAGAGACAGAAGGGAAAGGAAAGATATAAATAGTGAGAAACGCTGAAACAAAGACCGCAACTGGCTTCCCCGTGACGGGTGGCGGGAAAATGTGTCTATCTTAGAAGCAATTTTTTACTGGTTATTCATGCCCGTACCTTTTTTGGGGAGGCTTAATCTTTATCAATCATCTTAGAAGCAAGAACCTAAAGAGGAAACAACATACCCGTCAGCCAGGGAGATGGAGGCATCATCGTTCCGAACGAGAGCGGCGCCTTCGGGTGATGGAGGTTCTTGGAGAAGCTGCCACACGCCGCCTGTAGGGACCAGTGCTAAGCCCCCACCAGGAACAATGGTGTCAGACATCGTCGCCATCTTGCTTCCTCTGTTACCCGCAACTGTCAGCAGTAACGTACGGTAACTGTACAGGAAATGTACGGTAACTCTACAAAAAAATGTACGGTAACTGTACAGAAAATGTACGGTAACTACAGAAAACGTACAATAATTGCACAGAAAAACGTACGGTAACTGAGCAGAAATCGAATGTAACACAAAAAACGTACGTTATAAAAGAGATCATACGGCACAAATATAATGTTATTAATGTAGCAACAATATTCGTATTTGTACCCCCCCCCAAAAAAAAAACTATTTGTATATCCCGGAGAATACAACCCCCTAATTGATGCCTAACTCAATGATACCTATTTATTGCTAAGTGAAAAACAGGAGATATTACAATAAGACTAATCGAGTAATAATCGAAACTAACCGTGGGCCGCCTACGCTAACATAGTGACTGGACAGGCACACGTGAATTAGCCACATGTGTGTGTGCACTTACGCTAGTTCACCTAAACCTGTAATTATCCATTAAAAAAAATACGTTTACTCGAACAGCACGTAAGTACGAGCTTGTTTGAACACCTTCACAATGCCATTACGAAGGTATCGTTGGCCGTTAGTGCATGGTGAGCCTCTGTCAACAGTGCCTTCACGTGCGATTCCTCTCAGGGCAACACAGCCTCCGTCATTACCTGCAACAGTTCCTCTCAGGTCAACACCTGCAACAGTTCCTCTCAGGTCAACACCTGCAACAGTTCCTCTCAGATCAACACCTGCAACAGTTCCTCTCAGATCAACACCTGCAACAGTTCCTCTCAGATCAACACCTGCAACAGTTCCTTTCAGGTCAACACCTGCAACAGTTCCACTCAGGTCAACACTTTATTTTTATTTATTTATATATACAAATTCTTACATTCTTGTACAGCCACTAGTACGCGTAGCGTTTCGGGAAGGTCCTTAATCCTATTTTCCCTGGAATACGACCCCGCGAAAAATCGTTTAATAACAACCAGGTACACATTTTACTGTTGAGTTAGAGGCTACAGTTAAGGACTGGCGCCCAGTCAATCCTCCCCGGCCAGGACAAAGTGCTCGCGAAACGCCAGGCGAGCGTCTTAACCACTACATCACGGGGACAGCTCAACACCGTCAACAGTGCCTCCAAGATCAACGTCTTCTGTAGGTCAACATAGCCTGCGTCAAAACCTCCAACAATCAACTATATATCATGACAAGCAAGTCACTTGCCATACCAATAACTATATTTAATCAACAAAGTTCACGGACCAAAACATCTTCTATAAAAGGCTACTGAAACAGCAGCAGCAAAACTAAATTTGCCTTTATAAGTTATTCCTCGCAGAAATTTATTACAGTATGTAGAACACATCTAAAATAAATAAATAATTTCGGTATGTACGTGAACAATTATACACAAAGGTGTGTACAGTACATTGAAGTGAGTATAGTACGTACTTGTACCTGTTGCCTGGAGCGACGCCGCGCAGCACCTCCCTCGATGGTCACTGAGTCAACTCTGGACCATCCTGCAGGAGGACTTCACTAACCTAACTGTCAAGCTGTCAGGGGCGCGCACTCTCTTCCTTTTCATCCCCACTATATCTCCTTATTTTCCACTTGCTAAACAAAATGGTCTAATAGTGCGATCAAATTTTATATTCAGAGAACTATAAATTAAAAAAAAAATATTTTAACGGTAGTATAAAGGGTATTGTACGTTATGCACGTGTGTGGTGTTTGAAGCGGTGCTTTGCCTGACTACCGGTGCTGGGTCTAACATGTGTGTGAAGGTGATATGGCAATGACGAGGCTGTGGTCGGTGGACACCTCGTATCACCTGCAGCTGTTGCTGCCCTATGCGTGTCCCGCGCCGGCCACCCTCTAGTGATTACGCCTTGATTATCGGAAGTTTATTTTGCGTATATTACGCCAACACAAGAGGGGGGTTTAACAGTTGTCTAGTGGAATGCAATTATTGTACTAATGGAGTACGTCTGTTACACAACACTGCTGTTTAGTGTGGAAGATAATACCTGTAATTAGACAATGTGTGTCAATGGGGCGCCGTCTTGACAGGGAAACGCGTTGTAAAGCGTATTTTTAAGTCTAACCAAACAGAAAAACTCTTTGTTTAATCAATGTAATTTCACCATCCAAATATTAGTCAATCCTCGAAAAATTATCCCTATAGCGACTGTGGATGGAATGAACCAAATGCAGACTGTTGCAATCAAGCAAAGAAGTCCACAATTTTCTATTCATTCTGTAGAGGGCCGGAGAAAGTGGCAACCGCCGAACCTAACTTTTCCTTAGCCTAGTATATAGATCATAAATGTATTGAGTTGGACCCTAAGATTCTGCATGTTAAGCCTTGTATTACTTATTTACACCTAAGACAGGTTAATTTATATATTTTTCCTTTAGAATGAGTACTTTTTTGTACATTCCATCCACAGTACCTGTACATATTTTTTTTTTTAAGGATAGATTAAATATAATATCCTCCTACAGTTACCGTGTATGTCTACACATTTATTATTAACTGGCACTACAGTCTGTTCCAGCAAGAATCCAATACCTAATGTTTATAGTTCCACCAAGTTAAGATCGTTCTTTATAGTATTGCCTTTCTCCATTTGGGCTGATGCCTCACCACCTCAATTATGAGGAAAACAAAGTAAGAATAATGAATTAACCATTGGGGTGTGAGGCTTGTAAAATTACATTTATTCACATGGTGTGCAGTACATATAGATGCAGTGTGATAAGGTTTTACTATCATCAAATTAATAAATTCTAAAAAATGTAAAGCTGAAATTTGTCAATACTACGAATACTATGCTAGTCTTTTTATAAAGTAATAAAGTATCTTCATATACCTTTTATGTCACTCCCAAAGAAAATATACAGTATATTTTTTGTGAGCCCAGGTATTTACCAACAAATATACCTGCAGCAAAGCATAAACAACTTGAACAAACCAACATACTGTATATACAGCCGAGGCAGCAAGATAGCCTTGCAACATCTCGCATCCATTCACAGCTTCAAGAGCATGCACAACAATAATGCAGGGACATATTTACCAGGAACAATTGCTACAAGGCAGGCCTTAATGCTATCTTGAGGTTATCTAGAGATGATTTCGGGGCTTAGCGTCCCCAAGGCCCGGTCCTCAACCAGGCCTCCCTTTTGTTACATCTCCCCAGGAAGCAGCCCGTAGTAGCAATCTAACTCCCAGGTACCTATTTACTGCTAGGTAACAGTGAAACACTTTTTGCCCATCTGTCTCTGACTCCACCGGGGATCGAACCCGGAACCACAGGACTACGCACCCGAAGCGCTGTCCACTCGGCTGTCAGGCGCCCTGACACTAGCTCTCACTCCTTGCAAACAACTATACATGTACTCACCCCTGGCATAGGTAAGAGCTTTACCTTTTTACTTATTCCTGTATAGTCATACTGGCTTGGCACTTTCTCCTCATAACTTCCTTACCTTTTCATTTCTGCATGGTGGTATTTTAGAATATATGGAAGCTGCTTCAATATAAGAAATAAAAAAAAAAATATGGAGAAAGCATAGGAAAACCTAAATTTACAGTCTCAAGATAAAAATGTGGCAAACTGCAATAGCTACTGTACAACTTTGTAATATCATGAATATACAGTACAGTACACCAAATTGGGTAGTTATATTGTTTAAGAAGTCAAACAGAAGGTACTGTAATAAAAAGAACCACTCCTTTTAGACACATGCCATTTTTATTCGTAAACTATAATGTAAGGAAAAATAATTACAATATTAATGTTACAGGCAACCAATTTTATTTTTTTAATGTGAACATATCTTTGATGCTTTATTTACAAAATATAATGTGCTTAACATGGAAGTTGCACACTGATACCACAAAAACAATGCAAGCATACAAGATATTGAGGTCTATAGTATTAAGAGAGCAATGCTAGACATTATTACCTTTTATCAACAAGAATGGTGACTTAGCTTCACTCACTCATATATATTTGGAAATGTATTAATTTGTTATAAGTTCTTTGAAAACAATAACTGGGAACTAGTCCAAAATTATGCAATGGCACATATTTCAAATATTGACAGATAGTCTAACGTAATAATACATAAAACATCAATCACAAAAGTCTCTTATAATTAAAATATATACAGTTATATTCACATTACAAATAAAATCTCAAGAACTATACAATTACAGTATAACATCTTTAATATGAAATATATCACAACCTGTCAAGTCTCTTAACTTGTTCTTTTGGAAAGAAATATTTGTTTTTGTAACAAAGTATCGGTAATAAAAATAATGTACATTTTTAGTGGGAACAACATTGACAAAGATCAAATTAAGTCCAGTTATAATAAATTGCTTAAGCAATAAAAATAATTTGACAAATGTATATTGGTTAAATACCACAGATCTAATGCTCATTTGTCAAACATACAATGTACAGTACTTACATACTTGTATGTATCTACCAAATTCATAGCTACATAATTAATTTCCTATCAATGAAAACAAAATATCAAGTATAAAACTGACTACTGATATAGGTAGTAGTCTTCCAACCACAAGACAATTGTAACAATGGCCATACTATGAACAAGTTAAAATCTTAAGCCTTCCTTACCACATGTGGGTCTCACGGATCTCTCCTATGATCACATTTGCATTTTGCAGAGCCTGAAAAAAGAAAACAAAGTTATTTCAAAACCCTAAGAACATAATAACAACAAACTGCAGCAGACCTATTGACCAACATGAGGCAGCTCCTATTTATATTCACCCAAGTAAGAAGATTTTTTTATGAGAAACAACTAGTTATATGAAGAGCATCCATTCAGCATTAGAAAAGCTAAATATCATACTCAGAAAGGAGCTCTCTAATACACTCAAAATTATGTTTTCTTCATTAATTATTCTGCTGGAAGAAACAAAATACAACCATAATAATTAAAGTAATGAATTGTAATGAAGTGCCATTTTCTGGTGGGCTACTTAGTAGCTCCCATATGAGGTGGCTTGCTGGCACGAATCTAAATGGTCATGTGAAAGCAAGACTGGGAAATGCCATAAAGCAGCTTAGACCAATAATGGGATGCAACCTGTGGTCTGATTTATAAAAAATGCAAGATGTGCTCCAGATTTGGAAAAAAAAAATGAAAATGACTAACTATTAGCATGTTATGCACCCATGTGCAGGTCTCCATTTGCCTAGAACAGGGAATTTGTGACCTTGTATTTAAGATCAGTCTCCCAAAGGAAATACCTCAAGAAAGCAAGAATTATGTAAGAGCAGTTGCCAGATGGAGGAGAACAAGAGTGCCTGAAAATTAGACACAGGAATTAAAAAATAAATAAAAAGGCAATAGCTGAACAAAGTTCAGCTATTGGCTATTTTTTTCAGTTATTTGCCTAAGAAATAAACAGTTCAGTTCTTAACAATCAATTAGGATTACAGAGAGACCATACTTATGCATCCCTTAGAAGAAAATACTGTACCTTGATTGCTTCTACCATAAGAATCTGTTACAGTATTTAGACACTCGTTCTCCACTGTAGCCTGGGAAAACTTTGACTGGTAAAAGCTCTTCCTAACATGAGCAGAAGGAAGATTAGAAAAATCCATCTTAACCCCCCAAGCTCTCTTATTATTTGAACTACTCGGTGGGTCAAGAATGGCAAACAATCCTAGCTTTAACAACAAGGGAAGAGGGAAGCTGTGGGATCTTGTGCAAAAGCACAAGAATCACAGGAGTACCAATGTAC